AGTGTTTCCTCGTCAGTTTAATTGTTGCCACCTTTGTCTCGTCACACCTGTTGTAATCACGTCTTGTCTTGTCCTTGTATATAAGCCTCCTGTTCTGTGTTTTTCCTTTGTCGGGTCGTATTCGTTGGGTCTTCATGTTTCCTGTGTCTTCTGAATTTTCCCTGAGCTTCCTGAGTCCTTGTGAGTTTCTCCCTGAGTCTTCTAGTCCATGTAAGTTTTGCTGCCACGTCAGCTTATTGTTTTGTTACCTTTTATTTCGTCATTAAAGTATTTAGTTTTTTATAATCTGCCGAGTTGAGTCCTGTCTGCACAACTGGGTTCGTTCCTGTCCACCTGATCCTGACATTACGACCCGACCACACATTAGAACCCAGCGGGCAGGATTCTCTCGGCACACTCACCTTTTTTCTTTTTTCCCTCCTCGTGCCTGATGGACGAGCTCCTCTCCGTCTCCGTCCATCCACCGTCCCGCCGCCGTCACCGCGGTGGACGGTTCCGGAGGCAGTCTGCGGCGCCCGGCCCGGTCGCTGCCGAGCAGAACTTCAGAGCTGGTTCCGGTGTTTTCGTGGGAGCGGGGTTCGCCGCCTCACCTCCCAGGTTTCCGGTGGGGGCGAGATCCAGCGTCCCGCGGGAGCTCCGGTCCACTCCTGCTCGGTTCGGTAAGTCCGGTCCGGTTGACGTTACAAGGGCGGATTCCGTGGCCTCACCCTCCAGGTTCTTGGTGGGGGCGGAGTCCGACCTCTCACCGTCACATCGCGCCGCGGCTGTCCAACCCGGCCAGTCCATACCTATGGGGCATGCTACAAATGACTCGGTGGGGGCATGTTCCGCCGAACCACCTCTGAAGTTTCCGGTGGGGGCGACACCTGACTCCACACCATCACTTAAAGACACTGGCCCATCAATCACGTATTCACCCCATGAATTAGCCCAAATAAACCACACTCTGCAAAGCCTTTTTTGTTCTGCTAAAGATAACCCGGACTGTCTAGATTTTTTGCTCACCCTTGCCGAAAAATTTTTACTATCCCAACCCGGTTTAATCCAGCTTCCGGAATATCAGCAGCTTCTTGCTGGACTCAGAACTTCAAAAATAGACCATGATCCTGCCTCTGTAGACCCACCATCCACACTGCACGCCGCAGAGGAGTCAGTTCCTGCCGCCGCCGCCGCAGAGGAGTCAGTTCCTGCCGCCGCCGCCGC